ATCATGCCAGTCTAGATGTAGCCACAGGGCATCCTGCTATAAGTTGCCCTGGTATATAACCGTTCCACACTAAAGCCGTTGACGCTTGTAGGAACTAATGTGTTGTAAGTCCTCCCATTCCCTACTCTTAAGTCACACAACCCCTCCACCCCCATCCCCAATTTGCCCAAATGGAAGTCAGCCTCAGGAAAAAAATTCCCTGTTTTAAATTGTTTTGCTGTAAGTCCAAGTTTTTTGGAACATATCTTGGACTTATAGCAAGGACAGTCTGTATCATAAGTTTACATATACGTAACATCTATTTTTAAAAGCGATTTTAAAGATTTGAGAATCTTGGGCCAACCCAAGATAAAAACATTTAAACTACAATAAAACAAATAAAAGATAATTCTTCTTCCTCCCTGCAAAAAATGCACTTTTCTCAGGACTGAAGGTCCTGTTTCATTTCTGCTATCAGATAAAAGCAACAGTCTGCTTCTTTAATTAATCTACTTCTGATGAGCAATATCTGTCACTACACATAATGGGCCAATTTTGTCTTTGTTATATTTGTAACAAATTGGACTGGTTGAGGTCACCCCATGAGAAAAGCAGAATGTTACCTAATTGCTGTTTTATTTGTTGACAGTTTATTCTTCTACTGAATGTTCTCTCTGCTAGTAACACTTTCACTTGACCTTTGGCTTTCTCCGTTTCTCCGTTTTTTTTTATTTTGGCATAATTAGATGACTGTGATGCAGTTTCAACTGCATGCTCTAGTGCAATACTTCTTCCTCTGTCTAGTTTAGCCAGTTTTGTTTACTATTTGTAATATCTCTTATTTTACTTAGCTGTCTATTGCACCTGAGCAGTTTTCCATGTGCTTTTTGCTTCATAGTACTCAGTTGCCAACCATCTTACGTAAATGGTCACCTATGGCCAGGTTTACAAAAGTATTTAGGCACCTAAAGATGCAGTTAGACACCTATTGAGATTTACAAAAGAACCTTAGAATTCACTTTTGAAAATCTGCCCCCCCCCCCCGAATATATAACTTTGGAATCACTTTTGTACATCTGTTCATAATGGAGCTTTTGGTTTGATCTGTTTCCTTTATTTTATCTTTAACTTCTAATGAGATCCCATCTTTAACCGCAGGTGTTGTTTTGAACAGTATATTTTGGATAGGAGCAGTTGTTTACTCTTATATGAGAATGTTTATATTCTAAACCGCTGAAATATTGTATTTCTTCTAGTTTCAAATACCGTGCTCAGCACTGTACTATCTGACAATCTCTACCTAGATTTACTGCGTCTCTGCATTTTAAATGAGTCCCTGGGCTCTTACTACTTTTAAAATGCAGAGGCGTAGCAATCAGCGCGAGCTGGGACTGCTTGGCAGTTGCTTGGTGGCAACAGCCCCTGTCCGTGGCAGGGCCTAGCTCCCCACTAGGGTTGCCAGGTGTCTGGTATTCACCTGGCATCCAGTATTTTTGCCTCCTGTCCAATAAAAAGAAAATCAGAGAATACCGGACACCTGAGATGTCCGGTATTTTCTGAATTTTTCCCCAGCCAGGATGCGAAAATGCCGGGCACCTGGCAACCCTACAAACACTCAGCGCCCGGCCTCCCCACCCCGAACTCCCTCTGGCCCCCAACACCCCCAGTCCCTCTTCTGACTCCACCCCCCATGCTTACCTGCTTCCCCAAGGAAGCCGGCTCAAGGAGCCCCTGTGTTATGGCTCTGCATTTTAAATGTAGTAAGAGAGGTGCAGCGTCCTGGACCAGCGTGAGCTGGAACTGCTGGGTCCGGACTGATGCAGAGTCCAGCAGCCCCTGATTGTGGGGGCCATTCTTTCCGCTGTGAACAGAATCTGCTTCGGCATCATCCCCTGTTCGCAGCCAGCCTGGGCCATCATGAACAGGGGCAACTTGGCAGCAGTAGCCCTAACCATCTGGCAATTCTACTCCCCACTGGGACCCCTGCGGACAGGGGCGGCTTTGCAGCAGCATCCCTTATTCCCCCTACTGCCTCTGATAGAGGCAGTGGGGGGGAGCAGGCGGCTCCCCAGCATCCCTTATTCCCCCTACTGCCTCTGATAGAGGCAGTGGGGGGGAGCAGGTGGCACCCCAGAGAAAGTGCTGGGTGATCCTGCTTTTAAGCTGTCCCCCCCCCCAGCATTGGCTCCTATCCCCCCTTTGTTGCCTCTCATAGAGGCAGCAAGGGGAGGGGGCGCCACAGAGAGCACAGGGCTCTTGCACATTTCAAAAGCAGAAGCGCCCGCAGTGGGAATGGCGCAAGCGGGGACTGAAGCTGTCCCTGCTCATGGCGTTTCCTGCTTTGCCTCTGCCTTCCCTGCCCCCCTGCAGAGATGGTGCTGGGGGGAACTGACTTGATTCCTCCAGCACTGGCTCCTGCTCCTCCCCTTTGCTGCCTCCCTTTGAGAGAGGCAGTAGGGCGGGGAGGGGAAGCGACTATTTGAGTTGACTATCCAATAAGCCAGGGGTTCCCAAATTTTTTGACACGGGGACCAGAAAATCCATTCACGAGCTTTTGGAGGACTGGTAACAATCATTTGCATATTTGCATATTCATTAAGCAAATGATGAATATTCAAATAAATTGTTTCTGGTCTTCCCAAAGCCCCAGTGCCAGCTTTAGCAAAGCTTTTGATACGGTCACCCACAATATTCTTGCCAGCAAGTTAAGGGAATATGGATTGGATGAGTGGACTGTAAGATGGATAGAAAGCTGGCTAGACCAGGGTTCCCTAAACTTTTTACTTTAGTTGGAACCCGGTTTTTTTCAGTACTCTTTTTGCAGCCCCAAAATATAAATGCATATACAAAAAAATAATAAAAATGAATAAATTTTCACTGTTTCACCCAGCTGCATCCTCCACCCAGCCCAGGCCAGGGTTTGGGGGACCTGGTGCCGCATGGGCACTCCAGGAGCCCAGAAAATCTGGCTGCATCCTTTGCCTAGCCCGGGCCAGAGCTTGGGGGACCTTGCACCACACGGGCACTCTGGGAGGGGGGAGCAGGAGCAGATTGGGGGTAGGGGATCTGGCTAGGAGGGAGGGTGCAAGGAGGGGACTTGGGTAGGAGTTGGACCTCCCTGGTCTGGCACCCTCTGACCTGACTGGTCCCAGATGAGGGATATTTTGGACCAGGGAAGGTCATTTCATGGCTCCTGGTTCCCCCCCCCCCCCCCGCAACCTAACTGAGGTGCTCACCCCCGCTGGTTCTCTGCACCTCCCCCAAAACCATCCCACACAATCCAAGGGAGCACAGCACCAGTTCCCTGCAGCCCCTCGCAGCCCAGCTGAGCTGCCTGTCTGTTCCCTATGCCTTCCCCATCCACCTCAGCCCAGTTGAGCCCCTCACTGGTACCCTGCATGCCTCCCCCACAGCACAGCTGAGCCCTGTTTCCCTGCACCTCCCCCCAAGCCCTGCAGAACTGCTGAGCCTATCTCAGATTTCCTGCCCCTCCCTCCTCTTGAGTCAAGTCCCGGTTCCTGGCACCTCCTTCCTCCTGCAGCCAAACTGAGCTCTGAGCTCTGCACCTTCACCCCCACCACAGCCCAGCTCAGCCCTGCACCTCTTCACTCTGCAACCCAGCTGAGCTCCGTTTCCCTGCACCTCCCCCCAAACCATGCAGACATGCTGAGCCCAGCGCTGATTCCCTGCACTTCCTACCCTCCCCTTGAGTCGAGTTCCCGGCACCTCCCTCTCCCTGCAGCCCAGGTGAGCCCAGTGCCCTGCACCTCCCCCCAACCCCTCCGCAGTCCAGCCTGGTGCCGCCCTAGTGTGGCGCCCGGTGGCAACTGCCCCCGCCCCCACTACGCCTCTGCCAGGAGCCCGGAACATCCGGCTGCATCCTCCGCCCAGCCCGGCCCAGAGTTTGGGGAACCCGGCACCGCACAGGCACTCCGGGAGCCTGGATCACCCCGGCAGCCATGCTAAGGCCTGGTATTTTTTTCCCCGCAGACTGGTACCAGGCCACGGCCCATAGTTTGGGAAACACTGCAATAAGCATTTGCTTATCGGATAGACAACTAGTCACTTACATCCCTAGTCCTGGCAACATCTGCTAGGAAACTCTGGCTGTGCCGGCAGCAGTGGGGCTGGTAGCAGCTGGGAGCCCAGGGCTAGGCCAGTGGCCAGCAAATCCCAGATGTGAGGACTGTAGGGGGGCTTGTGGCAGTCAGGAAGCCCTGGGCTGGGCCAGCATCTGGGAATCCCCAGGCCAGGCCGGCTGCTGGGAGGCTCTGGACTGGGTTGGTGGCAGAGAGGCTGGACTAGGACTGGGAAGCACCAGCCAGGCCAAAGGCAGAGGGTCCAATTTGCAGAGAGGCCAGCAGAGGCTGGGAAGCTG